GTGTGTATGTATATATATATATATATATATATATATATATATATATATATATAAAATAAAATTACATGACATGACATGACATGGGGGGGATAAAAATGACAGCATCATTATATTATTTTTACACAGAGATTGGTATGTCTTTGTTACAGTATGTGCCAGTGGTGACCATTCGAAAATGGGACAAAGCAAGTTTGCATGCCTGTAACTCTAGAAGTATTAAAGATATCTTAATGCCCTTTCAGATTTTGGGTCTTAACAAACTTTCCTTTCGGCGTCTTCATTTTTAAGGCCCTATATGGTTAAATTCCAGCAATTTTGGAATCTCAATATGACTCCAGGAGTAATTTGTTAAATTGTACACATTTTTAGTGGTCAAAAACCAAATGTGGGTAACTTCGCATATAGATTATACTTTATTTCTTTTGAAGAGGAATGTCTAAGAACAAATAATGCTGAAACTAGAAATGTATTTAGTTTACTTCCATCAAAACAACTGCATAGAACATGTCTGAATGCCATAAATATTATTTTTCCAAAGTTTGCGTGTCTGTAACTCAAGATGTATTAAAAATATTCAATATGATTTCAGATTCTAATTCTAAATAAACTTTTTTTTTTTTGGAATCTACACTTTCAAGGCCCTTTGTAGTTCAGTCCCAGAGATATGAGGATCTCAATGTGGCTGTGTGTCGAGATTGTTTAATATTACCCACTTTCAGTGGTCGAAAACCAAATGTTGGTATTTAAAGGGGAATGTCTGAAGAATAAATAACACTGAAAGTAGAAATATATCTTGTTTTCCTCTATCAAGGCAATTGCATAGAACATAGTAAATGCATCTATGACATTTAACATTTTGGCTTTCTTCACTATACACGTTTATCTTTCTTGAGAAAAAAATATTGACAAAATTAAAACTTTGAGCTGGGGACCACTGATTGATTTGACATGGAATCACACATTTGTGCTCATATCTACACAACCTTATGGGCTAGAATCAAGATGATTATTTTCCCCTTAGTCACTGAATCACATACTACACAATGCATATCTATAAATACCATTTGCATTTTATACATACATACATATACAGTACATACATATGTACACACACACACACAAACACATGTATGTATATATATATATATATATATATATATAAAGCGTTGTCCAATTCCTTTTTCTTTCTCTCTGTCAGATTCAAGCATTTATGCACATTACCTCTTTGAGGCATTTGACACTAACAGGAATGGTTGTTTGAGTTTTAAGGTAAGTAACAGCAGAGGTTTTTTTTTAAATTCTGGTCCTGAAGACGGACCACTCTGCATTTTCTATGTCCATCTTATCTAACACACGATTCATATCATCAACTGGTTAGGAGAAGATCTATGAGCTAAACTGTGTGTGTCAGATAAGAGCCTTGCCTTGCCTAGTTAAGATTTTATTTGTTTGTTTGTTTTCTGACATATTTATAATTCTTATTATTGTCATTTTACAGGAGTTTGTTGCTGGTCTGTCACTCATCCTTAGAGGTTCAATATATGACCGGCTAAATTGGGCATTTAATTTCTATGATCTTGATAAAGATGGATTCATCACACGAGAGGTACTTGAAATGACGCTTTGATCAGTTTAATGTCTAGAAAGATTATTGTAAATATATATGTGTGTGTATGCTGTTTCGGTCTCCCAGGAGATGATGAAGATCATGAAGTCGATTTATAATTTGATGGGGAAGTATGTGTATCCCTCCATACATGATGATACTCCCAGAGAACATGTGGAAAACTTCTTTCAGGTGAACACAAACACACAGGATGTTCATTAATGTCCATGTTGTGACCCAAACATTTTTGTTTGCTAAAAAGTAAGGAATACAATTACTAAAGGAACTCCATGTTCTCTCTCCATATCAGCTACAATTAATGGAAAGTAATACAAACCCAATTCCAAAAAAAGTTGGGACACTATACAAATTGTGAGTAAAAAAGGAATGGAATTCTGTGAACATGTGTTTGCCCCCATCCTGATTCCTTTCATTTTTGTTTATATCTCAAACTTAATTGTTTCAAAAATGAAAACAAAATCTAACAAAATAAATGTAACTCAAGTAATAATATAGCTTTAATCAATAATGTTATATATTGAAGTTATCTAACATCAACTGGGTCGATGTGAAAATTCTGAAAAATTCCCAAATTTATGAAACTAGATGCAACCAGGCCTAATTATGGAAATCCGGGGAATGCGGAACACGATTTCCACCAACGGGGAAACCCCCCGGAAAATGATTTTTACCCAGGGGGCCTGAGTTAATATGCTGTTCAGGGGGCCCACAAACCATAGCGGAGCCCCTGGTTCTACTCACCATCCTCATAGTGTTTAATTGTTTATTACCACCACTGATTGTCTAATAAATACCACACACTGTAACAACCTTCGTCACCTTCTGTGTCAGAAGACAAGACCGTAACAGCATGGATCCAGTAAGATTGGCCCTGGACCCGTTTACTGCAACCATCAAAAATCTGAAGCAGGAATTGCTTTTTTGTTGGCCAATCCTAACTGTTTTTTTTTTGTGACCTCGTCCAACCTCTATAAAACCAGCGCATCAACACTCCCCCATACACTTCATTGCTGCCGTCGGTGCTGAATGTGGGATTTGTGTCACTGTCAGTGCCATACTCAGGGAACAGCAAGGGATTGCAAGGGTGTTCCATCATGCTTGAAATGAATTCTTAACTATTTCCTACTGAGAAAGCCAAAGTAGGATTCATTATCTCTCATCTCTCTCCAGCCATATGCTGCAGTGGTTTGAACCTTTATGGCACCAGGATGGAGCAATCATAAATTCTCTCTCACAATTCCTTTCCTATTTAAAGGATGTGTTTTCGAGGAGTGTGGGAAAATTGTTGAATTGGGAACAACTACACTGTCTTCGCCAGGAAAAAGTGATTACTCAGTTATCTTCTGTACCATGGCACCCCCATGATTCCATGGGGTTCAGCACTCCATCCGTGTCATTCATGACCATTTGGTAAGTTGCAGCTGGGAAACCCCACCAGTCTAGGCAGTGTCCTCACAAGGTCGTCCTCCTTCTGTAACAAAGGAAACTATTCAAGTGTACTAATCACATTTTACTACCTCGGAACATCAACGCTGTTTTCAATCCCAACTCTGCCATACTTCCAGCATCTTCTTGGAAAGTGTCTTGTCTGGCCTCCTCTAATCGTGGTAAGTTCCATCCACCCAGTATCTCCTCTTAGTTCTCCATTTCATATGCCAGTGACTGTTGATGATGATGATAATGATGATGATACATTTGATTTATATTGCATTTTTCTCAAACCCAAAGCGCTACACAAAGCAATTTAAATACAAATATGTAAAAACGTCTCAGGTTACTTATGTAACCATGGTTCCCTGAGTAGGGAACGAGACACTGCATCCTCTAGGGGTCGCTATGGGGAACGCCTCGTCGTGACCGGTGTCTGAAGCATACATTGAAAAAACACCAACTCGTTGGCCGGCAACAGCCATGACGTCACTACCGGTGCGACTATAGTATAAATATGTGCCGGGAGCTACACATCAGAGAGGGGGCTCAGCCTGCAGCATGATTGTAAAATCAGAAGGGTAAGCATACTGCAAGCTAGCCAAACACTCAGCGCATCAGGGAGGCAGAGGAAGGGCCTAATCCACCTGATGCTGCTGGTTCCAGGTGCTCTGGAAAAACAGAGAACTCAGCTTCTCATGTGAGAGCAGAACTCTGAATTCAGAGGAAATAACGTTGCTCATTCCAGGTAACCCTTTGATAAAAGGGGAGCACTGCTCAAACTACCATGAGGACAGCCCATGGAGCGAGGAATCCAACTCCTCAGAGAGGATTAACCCTCGAAAGAAAGCACCATACTCACAATAACCCTCACTGGTGAGGGGAGCGATGCTTCCAGAGTGTGTCGACAGAGACACACTAGTTGAGTGGAGCCAAAGGAACCGGGGTCTAACCAACTCAGAAAAAGGGAACGAGGTCAATAACGCGTAACCCTTACCATACAGGTACAGGTACTGGGCCAAACGGGAGAGGCAAGCTCAGATACAATCCTCAAAGAAGAGGGGAGCACTACCCGAGACAGCATTTACACAGGAAGTTTCTCGTAATGCCACCTATGCCTCCCGCTCGATGCCTCAGCAAGAGGGGATATCCTGGTGATCGGGAAACCCCTCAGGGCGACCCAGATACGGTAGACCAGTCAGGGTAGCATGAAAGCGTAACCCCAGCCCGTACGTCCAGGAAATTTTTGCAGTGATGCGCCGGGGGCCTCATGAACACGAAGGCTCCCGCAGAAGCCTGTGTTATGGCCGCATGATCCAGGAAGTATGAAGCCGAAAACCGGCTTTACTTACCGTCTGGACATACATCGACAAGTGAAATATGCACTGCAAGTCGAGCACCCGGTTTCTGAACCCAGCAAGCCTGCTTAGTAGCACGGAGAGCAAGATCTATGGTGCGGCGCAACTCAGCCATCTCATCAGAAGAAAGGCCCTCACCTTTATCCAGGTCTTTCAGCAGGTCAGCCTGGTATGCCTGGAGCACCGCCATCGTGTGCAGCGAAGCAACAGCCTGACCTGCTGCTGCGTTTGCCCTGCCATTCAATTTAGATTGATATCATGATTAGTTGTCACGGTGACCAGAGGGCCTGGTGTTCAGCAGACATCCTGGCATCCAGTTTATTGAGTGAGGGGACTGTGACGATTTGTTAACCTAATGAATAATTGATTTGTTAAATCAAATTAAAATTAGTGTGTCAGATTGGTCGAGACGCTACACTGGTATGCTGAAACCGAAGGATGTGTGAGGAAAACGGCCTCTTCCATTCCTTCTCGATCTCAGTATGGAGATCAGGAAGGAAAAGAAGGCTCACCTGAGCTGGAGGGTTATGGCCAGAAAGATAACGTTCCTCGAGACGACCTCGCGACATCACTTCCTTAGTTCGCTTCCATGGCAAGTCAAGCCTCGCTGTGGCGCGATCCATAACCTCTAAAAGCTCATCATACACAGGGCAGGAGGATTGAGAAGGCTCAGCCTCAGCTTCTTCGCTCTCTTCATCCATTTCCTGCTCTTCCTGGGCTGAACCCAGCAGAGCACTGGCCCCTGGATCAGATGATGTTAAAGAGAGAACATCATCCTCCAGCGGCTGTCTCTCGCCCACTGCCGATGAGCGTGAGAGGGAAAGCCCCTCTTTAAACTCATCGGCCAGGTCCACCTGAGATCCCCACGAGCTCATTCTCCTCCGTGCCTCAGCAGCGGCAGGTCCTGAACCGCGGGGAGCAGATGGTTGCCCCTCTTTACTCGAAAAGAGAGACAATCGAGAACGGAGCTTTTTAATTGGAAAAAACTCACAACGCGCGCAGATTGCCCCCTCGAGGACATCGCGTGCGTGCTCTTCGCCCAAACAAACAACACATAGATCGAGTGTGTCATCTGGTGTCAAAAAGCGATGACACGGACGCACACACCTTCTAAATGCTCTGCTAGTGCTCGCCATAATGAAAGAAATAGCTCTTACTTTTTCCTTGGAATGCACGCTTCAAACAGAACAGTCAATGAAGACAAAGAAGAGAATGATGTGTAGCTCCCGGTGCATATTTATACTATAGTCACACCAGTAGTGACGTCATGGCTGTCGCCGGCCAATGAGTTGGTGTTTTTTCAATGTATGCTTCAGACACGGGTCACAATGAGGCGTTCCCCATAGCGACCCCTAGAGGACGCAGTTCGAAGTTCCCATGAAAGGGAACAATAGTTAAAACAAAACAGACATAATGATACAACACTCAGAGACAATAAGCATTTTTAAAAATATGGGTCTTTGAAGACTTCTTAAAAAGTTGAATATTGGAGAATTTCTTACCACCAAAGGAAGTTTGTTCCACAACCGTGGAGCTAAAGCAGAGAACCCTTACGAAAAAGAAGTTTATTCAAGTGTGCTATTAGTATACGTCTTTTAAAATAAAAATAGGAAAGTATACTTTGTCTAATTTTTATGAACTTCTCAGACATGGGCTTTATGTACTTCTCAGAAATATACTTAAAATTACATTTAAGTATACTTGACTTATATTTAGGAAAAGTCTAAATATATTTGAGCTATATTGTGCTCCGAGAACGTTTTCATTGTTATACGGTGGGGGCGCTATTACACATCTTCTGTACAGAATTTCCAAAACACAACAGATGCTTCCACATGTATTCTAACACGATCATCAGACATAAAACAGCATCAAAAAATGTCGAGCAATGAAGAGGTAATAATGATTGTCAAGCTTTGGGGTGTTGATCGACTCCATCTACGTTTTGATTATCATTCTGAATCCAATTCATAGTCTTTTTTCAGCTTTTTGTTCTAAACCTTGTTTATTTCTTTATTTTTCTATTTATAAAACTTACCCACATTCAAGTGTTTAAAAAAAGAATGCATGACGCTAGAATAAAATGTTTTTGTTTACAAGCAGATACCCTGTTCTTTCTTTTGATGTTTTGTATGTTCAGATATTCATATAACAAAATATATACAAATTAATACCTAAATAGGGATGTAGTAGTATACTTAAAGTATGATGTAAAGTTCACTTAAAGAAAACTTACGAGTATACTTGCAGTATAAAACTACTAAACTAGTAGTTTACTGAGACTATACTTCAAAGTGTACTAAAATGCAGTATTTATTAAAGTATTTAATTAGTAAACTATCAGTGTACCTATAAGTTCACTTTTAGTATAGTTGCAGTACAAACTAAAAACATAGATGTAAACTAGTTCTGTACTCAAAGTTTACTACTGTTATACTTATACTTAAAGTAGACTTAAAAGTATACTTTTATATACTAGAAAGTGGGCCAATTTAGTCCCAATGAGTATTGAAATAGTACACTTACAAGTATACTACTAGTACAAGGATATCTGTATACTTACTACATAAAGTATACTTAATGAAATAAACTTGAAGTATACTACTTTTTGGTAAGGGAAGGCATGACCACCCATCGACTTTAAATGTAGGCTGCTGAGTAGTAGAGTTTTAGTACACTTTGAAGTATAGTCTCAGTAAACTACTAGTTTAGTAGTTTTATACTGCAAGTATACTCGTAAGTTTTCTTTAAGTGAACTTTACATTGTACTTTAAGTATACTACTACGTCCCTATTTAGGTATTCATTTGTATATATTTTGTTATATGAATATCTGAACATACAAAACATCAAAAGAAAGAACAGGGTATCTGCTTGTAAACAGACACATTTTATTCTAGCTTCATGCTTTCTTTTCTTTTAAACACTTGAATGTGGGTAAGTTTTATAAATAAAAAATAAAGAAATAAACTAGATTTTGAACAAAAAGCTGAAAAAAGACGATTAATTGGATTTAGAATGATAATCAAAACGTATATGGAGTCGATCAACACCCCAAAGCTTGACAGTCATTATTATCTCTTCATTGGTCGACATTTTATTCCATAACGTTACACAGTTTTGATGCTGTTTTATGTCTGATGATGCTGTTAGATTACATGTGGAAGCGTCTGTTGTTTCAGTTTCTTCATCTCTTGTGTTTTGGAAATTCTGTACAGAAGATGTGTACTAGCGCCCCCTACCGTATAACAATGAAAACGTTCTCGGAGCACAAGTATAGCTCAAATATATTTAGACTTTTTCTAAGTACAAGTCAAGTATACTTAAATGTCATTTTAATTATATTTCTGAGAAGTACATAAAGCCCATGTCTGAGAAGTACATACAATTAGACTGAAAGTATACTTTCCAATTTTTTTGTTTAAAAGACGTATACTAATAGCACATTTGAATAAACTTCTATTTCGTAAGGGATGTGCAGCGGAGTTTTGAATATACTGCATTTGCTTAATATACTTATCAGGGAGAGCCAAATAAAGTGTATAGCCGTTACAATAATCTAGTCTCGACATAATAAAGGCATGGGTAAGCCTTTTCACATCAGGCAGAGATAAAGATGGTCGAAGTCTGGCAATGTTTCTGAGATGGAAAAATGCAGATTTTGAGACCGTTTTAATATGGGCATCGAATGACAATTGTGAGACTAAAACAGCACCTCGATTTCACAGCTGTGATGCTGGAGATAGTAAGTCAAAATCAGTAAACAGTTTGAGACTATTTCATTTACCCAAAGCTGTCAGCATACCAACAAGTAGCAGCTCAGTTTTTGATCGTTTAGTTTAAGATAATCGTTGTGCATCCACACCTTTATTTCTTCCAAGCAGGAGGTGAGGGATGTAATTGCGAGATTAGGGTCCAGGAGTAAGCTGACATAGATCTGCATGTCATCAGCATAACAGTGAAACCCCAGACCATACTTTATGATGATGTCTCCAAGCTGCATTATATAGATACAAAATAAAGTGGGTCTGAGAACTGACCCCTGCGGGATGTTCTCCTGAACCAATGTTGCCTCAGACTGTTACTACCTCAGATGTCTCTTGTGTTGTAGATGCCCTCATTGATACAGGGTCAGTAGGCAACTTCATCTCCCAGGAGCTCAATAAAAGATTACTCCTCTGGTCCATCTCTCTGAACACCCAGTTGACCATTCAGTCAGTCATGGGACAGCAGCTGGGTAAAAGACGTATCACCCATTAATCACCCATGTTACAAATGCAGGTGAGAGTCTGCCGCAAAGGAGGCAAAGTCCTTTACCTTCTTCCTACATCCACAGCACCTTCATCCTTGGTAGATCCTGGTTCATCCAACACTGTCCACAAGTATCAAGGATTACCAGAGAAATCCTCAAATGGAACCAGAGCTGTCACCACTGCTGCATCCCGTTTCCCATCCATCATCCTTCCTCCAGTCCATCTCCATTGCCATTGTATATGTGTCCCACCACTGTTGAAAGTCTATCCATCAATCAGAACACTCAAATCTCTTCTGAATACCAAGACTTTCCCTCCCTCTTCTCTGCATATGAGGCCTCTGCACTTCCACCTCATTGCCCATGCTATTGACATCCTTCCAGACATCAAACTTCCACATGGGTGTTTACACCCTTTCTCAGCCAGAGCAGAAGACTGTAGAAGAGTATGTGGAGGAGGTTCTCCGCCAGGAATACATTTGTGGACCAGAGGAAAAGAAGGTTTGAGGCTTGAGACAACATCCTGGATCTGGCCTAACTTGTTGCCTTCCATGCAGCCAATCCTAACTGTCCTGCACCGCATGGAAGAGGCTGGGCCAGTGTCGAAGGTCTTGGACCTCAAGAGTGGTCTGTGGAGGGGGGTAGGTACTGTAATGCATCCGCCTGCTTCTGCACCCCCTGTGCCGTCTCATTCACCAGAATACTGATCATCATCACCTGATCCTCATCACAACCCCGGTCATGGACTGTATATACAGTATATTCACCCTTAATTCTCCTTCTGAGTATGACCATCAAGCATTGTGTGTACTTATTCGTCTTCTTCGTCGGACATCTCAAAAAAAGGACTGTTATTGTTTGTGCTACTTTACCATTGATGTGATTGTGTTCTACACACCTCCCTCGTCATGTTTCATTGTTCATTACCTTTATTTAAAGTCTAACAAATACCACTCACTGCAACAACCTCTGTCATCTTTATCCTTCTGAGACAAGTGAACCTTCCCAACAGCAGTTGAGGGAAACAGGCATTCTGCTCTATACCAGAAAATCTGTACATATGATTTTCTTTTAGTGGAATTTAGTGTTTAGTTTATACAAGATGTAACAGGACCACTCTCGTCTAAAATGTCCCCCTTTTGTCTTATCAGTCTACAATCATTTTCCCAAAATGGATAATGTCCGGTCTTCAGTCTGTAATGCAACTGGATTATACAGCTCGACAATGATCCAAAGCATAGGAGTAAGTCCACCATGGAAAGGCTATTTTGGAGTGGTCTAGTCAAAGTCCTGATTTGAGCCTAATTGATATACTGTAGCAGGACATTAAATGGGTAGTTCACACTCGAATTCTCTCTAATGTGGCAGAACTAAAGCAGTTCTGCAAAGAAGAGTGAGGCAAAATACCACCACAGCACTGCTAAAGACTGATCTCCAGTTATTGGAAGTGTTTGGTTGCAGTTATTGCTGCTAAAGGTGGCACGATTTTAAGTTTAACAGGGCAAATAGTTTTTCACATGGGTGACAGCTGTGAAATAACTTGTTTGCTTTAAAATTAATGACTAAATAAAAAAATAAAAACTGTATTATGTGTTTACTCAGGTTGCCTGGTTTATGTTGCATTTCATGTGATCTAAAACTATTTTGTATGAAATATACAAAAAAAAAAAAATCAGGATGGGGCAAATACATTTTCACAACACTATATATTGCTTGAACTCAAGGATTTTCACCTCTTTTCAAGGATTCAATTATGCATCTGGAACTTTATAAACCTTTTTTCCAGAAAATGGACAGAAACCATGATGGATTGATCACTATTGAGGAGTTCATGGAGTCATGTCAAAAGGTTGATCTCTACAACTTATTTTTATCAAAATGCAAAACATCATAATCAAAGATGAAATATCTCCAGGGAGTATTCCAGAGAGCAGGTTTAACTTGACATCATGACATTTTGATTATCATAACATAACCCAACGTTGATTGAACAGTATATATGCATTGCTTTTTCACAGTCCCAGAATCATCCCTTGTACAGCTAGGGCTGGATTCACAAAACATTCTTAAGAAAAAAAGCCTTCTTAACTGCCATTTTTTCTTTTATTTTAACTTAGGAAATAAGTTAATAAAATGTTGTATTCCCAAACATTCACTCAGAAGACAATGCAAAAAACAGCACAAACATGAATAAAACAGGTCGCTGCAACTTGAGACAAGTTCATTTTATGCATTTTATCAATAGTTTTCCAATACAACAAGGCTTTTTAAAAGTAACTGTTCAAAAACACTGCACATTAAAAACACGAAGCCGAGCGCCGGTCAAGACGGTCACCACGAGAATAGTGTGTGCACTTTTTATGATTATTAGGGTAATCTGGAGGAAGCACAAAAAGACAATCCTTTAAGTGTGTTTATCAGTGTCTTCAGTCATGTATTCAATCAGATAAAGACTATTTTTTTCTTAAGAAAAAATTAGGTTGTTCTTAAGAACATATTTGAGAACTTAAGAATTTTTCAAGAATTGCACTGAAGAACGTTATTATGAACTTCATGGAATTTATCTTAAAAAAATTATTTTTTGTGAATCCGGTCCCTGGTGTAACTGTATATTGTGACAAGCATATGCACAACATCCATCATAATTGCATTTTTAAAATAAAATGTATATAGAAAACATCCCACTGGAGAAAAATGCAGCAATGTTTTAGAGGAGAAAATGTTGGGTTTAAGATTTGTAGGGTAAAATAAACTGTGCTGTAGTAATGCTATATAATTATAATATAACGTGTAGTCTGTGCTGCCATGCACAATGGAGCTTCAGCAGAAGGGAACACATGTGAAGCAGAGACATTAAAGGGGTCATATGATGCTTTTTTAAAGATCATTATTTTGTGTATTTGGTGTAACAGAATATGTTGACATGCTTTAATGTTCAAAAAACACATTATTTTTCAAATACTGTACATTATTGTAGGTCCTCTATGCCCCGCCTCTCTCAAACGCTTTGTTTTCTACAAAGCCCCTCCTTTGACAAGCGCAGTCTGCTCTGATTGGCCAGCTGACCCAGTGCATTGTGATTGGCCGAACACCGCAAATGCTCGTCGGAAATGTAACACCCCTTACCATAATCGCAAACTTCATCTTTCAAAATAAATGTAAAGACAGAGCCCGAAAGGGGAACAGAGTCTCGTGACAGACACAGTGATGAATATGTGTTTGCAGTACACAAGCCACGGTTAAGACAGCTGACTCCACTGTGATGTGTCTCGCTTCTCTCTCACTCGCGCGCACACGCACGCACACACACACAAACACAAAACTCCGCATTTGAACAGTCAATAGCAAATACTTAAACTAATAACAAAACAGTAGCTGATTCAGAAGAGCCAGATTGTCATAGCAAAGTCAGAATTACCTCCTCTCCTAGGTTCACAAAACGGTCGTCCATAAAATGCATTGCTGTTCTGTTGTAAGTAATCTTAAAGATTCCTAAATGCATCTATTTCCGGAAGGCCAAATAAAGTGCTTTTGCTTTCGCCTAGAAACACAGAGCGTCTCCCTGACATGCTGCTTCAACACTAACTGCAGTTACTGAAACCACGCCTTCTTTCTTTGCGTGCACATTTGGGCCGCATTATGCAAATATTTCCACATAGTGGGGTAGATATGTGGGGGCGTGTTAGAACGAGCCATTTTAGGGGGGTGTGGCAGATTCTTAACTTTGATAAAGAGTATCTCTTTGGTTTTGAGACTTTAGTCTTTGCAACTTCAGGGATCTTATCTCTGCACAATCAGCTTGTAACACTCCAAAGAGAAAGGAAAACTTGAAATCGCATCATATGACCCCTTTAACCTTAAGTAAACTAACTCTGGACCACAGGTTCATGGAGTAAGTTCCCCCAGTTTTGGGGATTGAAAGATGAAGTTAATGGCTTTCTCTGGGATAACTTACTAAAAGTTATAGTTACTTAACTTACTAAATGTTTGCTTTCTGGAATATCCTGCAGGAAAATGTGACTCTTGCCATTTACTTGTCTTTCTTTTCTGTTTATCTAAGGATGCCAATATTATGCGGTCAATGCGGCTGTTTGACAGTGTCTTTTAGGAGATTCTGCCCAACTGTGGATTTCGGCACATTCTTCTCTTTCCATCAAGAAATTTCTCCATAAAGAATCTTACTGTGTTCACACTGTACTTATATAGTATGCATTTTTATAATATGTGGGGTTTGCTATTTTTTTAATCATAGAAGGCCTTTAGGGAAGCACACACCTGACAGGCAAAAGCTTAGCTCTTTCTGGAAACATCAGTATGCAAAAAAAGTATGTTTCGTTTTTAACCATACTGTTTATTGTATTTCTTTTTTAATTACTATCTTTTTTTGTGTGTGTGTTAACTCTGATTTTATCTCTTGTTCATTTACTTAATGATAAGTGCACTACAGCAAGAATGTGAGGGTTAATTTTATGTTACAAATGGTATGTTTCAGTTTGAAAAAGCGAGGGAAAGCGTGTTTTAAATCAGCTGTTATTAGAACAGAACAGATGAACAGACAGTGTATTTTGTTGAGCTGGAAATAAACATGTACCCAGGGTCGCTGCTGGCCAAATGGGTGCCCTAAGCAGGATTGTATTGTTGTGCCCCCTCCCTCAAATATTACGGATGTAAAAAAAAAAAAACCACCTACTATTATAGGGGTCAAAATAGAACTTTAATAAAATAGAAAAGTAAATAAATTGTAATTAAATTGTATTATTTACAAATTATTATTGAAGCTCTAGACAGTTATCTGTGGCTATGATTTTATTAATACAGTTGTCTGATTGATTTTATAGTCTCAAGAATTCAGAAATCACGCAAAAGAAAACTAAGCAGTTTTACTACGATAAACCCATGGTTAGTTTTTGTAAGGGTTGTAATGTCCACATGTTTTTTTTTGAAGAAATTATAGAGGCTGTGTCATCTATTGCAAAAAGGTGGCCAAAAATGAAAGATTAAGTGGATATTTGAATTAAATGTTTGGTTAATTGCCAATTAAACAACAATTTGATCGTCCTGTAAGTATAACAGCAGCAATTATTTTGGCTCCCTTTGCAGGCATTTTTAATAATATGTAATGTACATAAATTGTTTACTTTGTATTAAATTATGTATTTTAACAGTGTTATTCAATGAAACCATATAATTATTAATTAACCAATCATTATTGCCTCATTGTTGCCTTTTAAGTCATTTTAAAGGCTGTTGTTGGCTTAGGTCTGTTTTTATAACCACAAAAATATATTATGTTAATACTTCTTTGTAAATTATTATTTGAAGTAACAAAACCATGGTTCCCTTTCAGTCGGTCACTCTGAGTCACATCGGTGACCGACGAATTGGGATATCGCTTCGATAGACCAATCTACATCGAGTGTAAACTAAACGAGCCAATGCACATTGGCATGCAATTATTGCATCCGCATTATATAGCCTCAGCACTAAAAGAGCATTTCCTAAAAGAGCAAATTTCTCTAAAAGAGCTACACGGGTGCATCTTTATAAAGACGACGGATCATCCTTATAAGGATGCCGTTTCACCCGTGCGTTTCTGGGTGCAGTCGTTACCTGGCACCGGGTGATGGTCACGATCGCGTCTGGGCATCAAGCATCTGGGCTCGTCCTGGCTGAAGGCAGTCGAGAACCACTTCCAGCAGTAGCGTGGGCGGTTTGAGGGTTACAGTGATGGCAAACCCCGCAGGCAACCCACCCTCTGGGGACCATCACTCCTCTTGGTCCTCCGATCCAGTGGAGCGACCCACGGAACGCGCTGGGCCCTTTTTGAAGAGCGTACCAGCGGTATCCAGTGGACCTCCCCCCGACCAGATGTCAATCTCAGCATCAGAGGGAGAGCTGTCCGATGAAAATTCGGCCGCGCTGCCGCCCTCCGGGATGGTGGCAAAGCCTGAATCGGATCCAGAGATGACAGCTATGCTTTCCCGGGCCGAAAGGGTCGGGCTCGAGTGGAAACCTCCACCGTGTCCCGAGTCCTCAAGGCTGGATGATTGGTTTCTCGGGGTGGCTTGCGCTGCCCCCGCCCTGGTGCCTTTCTTCCCGGAAGTGCATGACAAGCTCACCAGGTCGTGGACAGCACCTTTTACTGCCAGAAACCTTTTACTTCTCCTCCCTCACCACCCTCGACGGCGGTGTAGCGAAGGGGTATTCGGCGACCCCCCCGGTGGAGCGGGCGGTAGCGATGCAATTGTGTCCTAAGTCCACCTCCTCCTGGCGTGGAGACCCGTTACTTCCTTTGAATTAAATGTTTGGTTAATTGCCAATTAAACAACAATTTGATCGTCCTGTAAGTATAACAGCAGCAATTATTTTGGCTCCCTTTGCAGGCATTTTTAATAATATGTAATGTACATAAATTGTTTACTTTGTATTAAATTATGTATTTTAACAGTGTTATTCAATGAAACCATATAATTATTAATTAACCAATCATTATTGCCTCATTGTTGCCTTTTAAGTCATTTTAAAGGCTGTTGTTGGCTTAGGTCTGTTTTTATAACCACAAAAATATATTATGTTAATACTTCTTTGTAAATTATTATTTGAAGTAACAAAACCATGGTTCCCTTTCAGTCGGTCACTCTGAGTCACATCGGTGACCGACGAATTGGGATATCGCTTCGATAGACCAATCTACATCGAGTGTAAACTAAACGAGCCAATGCACATTGGCATGCAATTATTGCATCCGCATTATATAGCCTCAGCACTAAAAGAGCATTTCCTAAAAGAGCAAATTTCTCTAAAAGAGCTACACGGGTGCATCTTTATAAAGACGACGGATCATCCTTATAAGGATGCCGTTTCACCCGTGCGTTTCTGGGTGCAGTCGTTACCTGGCACCGGGTGATGGTCACGATCGCGTCTGGGCATCAAGCATCTGGGCTCGTCCTGGCTGAAGGCAGTCGAGAACCACTTCCAGCAGTAGCGTGGGCGGTTTGAGGGTTACAGTGATGGCAAACCCCGCAGGGAACCAACCCTCTGGGGACCATCACTCCTCTTGGTCCTCCGATCCAGTGGAGCGACCCACGGAACGCGCTGGGCCCTTTTTGAAGAGCGTACCAGCGGTATCCAGTGGACCTCCCCCCGACCAGATGTCAATCTCAGCATCAGAGGGAGAGCTGTCCGATGAAAATTCGGCCGCGCTGCCGCCCTCCGGGATGGTGGCAAAGCCTGAATCGGATCCAGAGATGACAGCTATGCTTTCCCGGGCCGAAAGGGTCGGGCTCGAGTGGAAACCTCCACCGTGTCCCGAGTCCTCAAGGCTGGATGATTGGTTTCTCGGGGTGGCTTGCGCTGCCCCCGCCCTGGTGCCTTTCTTCCCGGAAGTGCATGACAAGCTCACCAGGTCGTGGACAGCACCTTTTACTGCCAGAAACCTTTTACTTCTCCTCCCTCACCACCCTCGACGGCGGTGTAGCGAAGGGGTATTCGGCGACCCCCCCGGTGGAGCGGGCGGTAGCGATGCAATTGTGTCCTAAGTCCACCTCCTCCTGGCGTGGAGACCCGTTACTTCCTTCCCGGGCCTGTAGGCATTCGTCTGGTCTAACCGGCAGTGCCTATACGGCTTGCGGGGAAGCTGCTTCCGCCTTACACGCTATGGCGTTACTGCAGGTGCCTCCTGGGCGCTGGCTCGTGGCGCCTCGCTGACAGATATTTGTAGGGCTCCGTCACCCTCGGCAGCGGACGCGGATATGATATGAATCCGCGGGAACCGTGGAAGGCTGGGTTCCATATTGAGACCTAAGCTGTTCTCGTATGTGTATAGTCCACGGTATAGCCATAGAGCCCGTGTTTGCCCGGCAGACTTCTGCCTTTCCAAGAGGGTTACAATCACCTCCAGTTCTCCATATACACCTGAACGGATGCTATATGTGTATTCGCTTCCGAAAACTCCTTCGGGAAGGATTGGGCTTCCGCAGCGTCCCTGTTCCAAGTGGAGCATGACAAGCTCACCAGGTCGTGGACAGCACCTTTTACTGCCAGAAACCTTTTACTTCTCCTCCCTCACCACCCTCGACGGCGGTGTAGCGAAGGGGTATTCGGCGACCCCCCCGGTGGAGCGGGCGGTAGCGATGCAATTGTGTCCTAAGTCCACCTCCTCCTGGCGTGGAGACCCGTTACTTCCTTCCCGGGCCTGTAGGCATTCGTCTGGTCTAACCGGCAGTGCCTATACGGCTTGCGGGGAAGCTGCTTCCGCCTTACACGCTATGGCGTTACTGCAGGTGCACCAGGCTAAGGCACTGAAGGACCTGCAC